GGAGGGGGGTGGGCGAGGCTCTGGGAAGGTGCCGGGGGCCCTGGAGTAGCCCCGAGGCCCTGGGGAGGCCCCTGAGGAGGGAGGCCGAGGCCCTGGGGGGGTGTCAGGTGCTCTTGGTGGTCCCTTCAGGGGGGAGTCGAGGCCCTGGGGGTTGCCCTGAGGCCCTGGGGGGGGGGGCAGGGGGGGGCCCTGAGGTCCTTGGGCAGGCCCTGGAGGGGATCTTGAGGCCATGGGGGGGTGTCAGGTGCCCTGGGTGGGCCCTGGAGGGGCCCTGATGCTCCGAGGGAGCCCTGAGGGGTTGTTGGGGGACATTGGGGGATGCTCAGTGGGCTCCGGAGCCAGTTGGACTCCTTGTGGGTGCTCAGGGCTGTCCAGGAGGCACTCAGGACCTCGTGGGGGCTCGGTGGATATCAGCTTTGGGGTCACAGGGGCCAGGGGCTGTCCTGGGTCAGTCTGGGGCTCACTGAATGCCCACTGGGGCCTGGGACTCAGGGGAAGTACCCGTGGCTGGAGCAAGAGCCCAGTGGGTGCTGTGGAGGTCTGCTGTGCATATCCTGGGCCCCTGGATATGCAGGGCTGCTGCTTGGTGGGTGCCTGGGGCCAGACTGGAGCTCACTGGATGCTCAGGGCTGCCTTGTTGTCCTGAGTGTCTCGTGGGTGCCTGGGTCTCAGGGGGTGTAGGTGTATGGTGCCATGCAGCATTGGGAAGCCGTCTGGCTCCCCGTGCTCTGGGAAGAGTGGCCAGCCCAGGCTGAGCCTCCTGGGAGGCCCCTGGACTTGTCCCAGGGGTCTTGCGTTGGGCTGAGACAGGAGCTTGTGGTTGGGACACCATGTTCCTGATGTCCGGCCAAACACTGAGCTCGGCTTGGACATCTGTCTAGCGTCCGTGCTGCCAGAAAAGGCCGAGGGCGCTCAAGGCAGCGGTGCTTCTGGGGGTGGATGTTCCTCCCTGCCCAACTCTCCTCTTTCCTTCCCCGAGCAGACAAGGACCCTGTGGCTCACAAAAAGGTCTCCAGTTTGACCATAAACTTTGGACCCCAGCACCCAGCTGCCCATGGGGTCCTGCGGCTGGTCATGGAGCTGAGTGGGGAGACGGTGAAGAAGTGTGACCCCCACGTTGGCCTCTTGCACCGAGGCACCGAGAAGCTCATCGAGTACAAGACGTACCTCCAGGTAAGGCACAGCGGGCTCCCAGTGCTTCCCCGTCCTGGGGTCTGGTGTCTGTCTGTGGGGAGAGCGAGGGGTGTCCTTTTAGGGTGAGAAAACTAGGACATGAGTGGCTGTTGGTGTCTGTCTGTCTGCAGCTGTCTGATCAGATACATCAACAGCCTCCTCGGTGCACTGGGAGGGGATTTATTTGCCTGTCAGGGTCTGCAGCAGTGTTTGTAAACAGACCCTGCTGATTTATTGTCCTGATCGGGTTTAATGTTTGTGCCAGCGGGAGAAATGGAGCTTGAAATAGCCCAGGGCTGGGGGGGAGCGCTGCCTTGTCTGGCCGCTGCGGCTTGAGGCAGCACCGTGACAGCTGCGTGGCAGAGATGGTTCTCAGCTGTTGTGTGCCAAGGGTGCAGGATTAGGGCCCTCACTGCATCTATGAGCTGGAAAACTCTCGCAGAGGGACATTGTCTGCCTTCCTTCAAGTCTTATCCCAAGGCAGAGCCATCCATGTGTCCGCTCCAGCCCGGTGCTGTAGCTTCTGGGCTGCTTTCATGGCTGCTGTTGTACTTGATGCTTCCTGAGCATGCTGTGCCTGGGGGCTGCATCCCGATGCTCCCTGGCTGTGGTGAAGTCTCCAAGCACTCCTAGTGGTCCCAGGTCTTTGCTGCCCAGCTGTAGGTGCCAGCAGCCAGTGCTCAAGGCTGTTTCTTTTGGCAGGCACTGCCCTACTTCGACCGTCTTGACTACGTCTCCATGATGTGCAATGAGCAGGCCTATTCCCTGGCCGTGGAGAAGCTGCTCAACATCCGCCCACCTCTGCGGGCTCAGTGGATCCGAGGTGAGGGTGTCCCCATGCATCCCCTTACCTTTTCTGTGGGGGCTCCAGCTCCCGTCCCAGAAGCAGGTGCTTCTGCCTGCCCTGCTGAGGGCTCGTAGCTCTCAGCTTTCTGGGGGCTCAGCCCCCGTTCCCCCTCCGCAGGGGGGGCGCAGGGCCGGAGGTGCTCACCCCCCTGTGCCCCTTCTGACCCCAGTTCTCTTCGCGGAGATAACCCGGCTGCTCAACCACATCATGGCTGTGACCACGCATGCGCTGGACATTGGGGCCATGACCCCCTTCTTCTGGATGTTTGAGGAGAGAGAGAAGGTAAAGGGCAGCGTGGCCGTACCAGGGGGTCGGATTTGAGGCTCGGTGCTGCCCATGGGGTCGTGCTGTGGAGCAGTGGGCTCTCCTCTGTCCCTGCAGATGTTCGAGTTCTACGAGCGGGTCTCGGGGGCACGGATGCATGCTGCCTACATCCGTCCTGGCGGGGTGCACCAGGTAAGGGCAGCTGTGTTGTGCCCCGGCTCCCTGCAAAGCCCCTCTGGTCTGGCAGGGATGTGCCGGGTGTCCCTGCATGGGTGATGGCCCCTCTGGTGTCTCCCTGCCCGCGTCCCCAGTGCCACTGGCCGTGCGTGGGCTCACCTCCCTCTCCCCCCCCATGCAGGACCTGCCCCTGGGACTGATGGATGACATCTACGAGTTCGTGAAGAATTTCTCCATGCGGATAGACGAGGTGGAGGAGGTGAGGCAGGATGGGAGCCAGGCTTCTGCTCAAAACGTGGGAGAGATGGACAGTCCCCATTTCCCAGCACCCTGAGGGCTGGGGTCTCGCGTTGCCTGTCCCCTGGGCACAGCCAGCACAGGGTTATTCCTCCTGCAGCAGTGGTGATAAGGTGACATGGGTCAGGAAAGAGGGTGCATAATCGGGGAGAGGCAGCTGGTGTGGGGAACAGGTGACTAATGCCCTGCTGCTTGCAGATGCTCACAAACAACCGCATCTGGAAGAACCGCACAGTCGACATTGGGGTGATAACAGCGGAGGAGGCTCTGAACTATGGGTTCAGGTGGGTCCGGTGGCTCCTGGGGACACCTGGGTGGGGGGCTCAGCCTCCTGCCACTGCCCACCTGTGTTGTCTCCCCCAGAAGAATTGGGGTTGAGTCCAAAGGTCTCAGCCCAGAGCCGTTTTCGGGACCGATGACACTGCTGACTGTCAGGGCAGTGCCATCTGGTGGCCACAGCGTGGCAGGAGCTGTGACTGTGTGTCCTGCCTGGCTGTAGCCATCCTCCTGTGGCTGCTGCTCAGGGCTGTGGATGCATGGCTGCTTTCCCCTGTGTCAGGGTCTGCTTTGGGGCATGGGGAGGGCCCGGAGCTGGTGTGGGCTGGGGCCCCTGCTTTGGGTGGGCTGCTCACCCACCTCCCTCCACCCAGTGGGGTGATGCTCCGGGGCTCAGGGATCCACTGGGATCTGCGCAAGACCCAGCCTTACGACGTCTATGACCAGGTGGAGTTCGACGTCCCTATCGGCTCCCGGGGCGACTGCTACGACAGGTACATCACATGCCGGCTCTGCTGGGGCCTATGGGAGGCCTTGGCAGGGTCACGCCTTCTCCATGGGCCTGTGGTGAGGCTGCGGCTTCCCCACGGGGTGCCCACCACACAGGGCGCAGGCCCCGAGCTGAGCGGCTTCTGGGTCCCACAGGTACCTGTGCCGTGTGGAAGAGATGCGACAGTCCCTCCGTATCATCCTCCAGTGCCTCAACAAGATGCCTGAGGGGGAGATCAAAGTAGATGATGCCAAAATCTCCCCTCCAAAGCGGGCAGAGATGAAGGTAAACGCACTTACTTCCCCCACCAGGCCTTGCTGCCGGCTGCACGTCGGCGCTGGTGAGCAGGAAATGCGGTTTGGTGTGTCAGATGCTTGTGCTGAGGATTTTGCCAGTGTTATCTGCTGCTGCATCCGTCCCCCAGCTCAGCTGGGGACTTCCTGGCCTCCTGCCTACTGTCCCTGCCTGGTCTGGCAGCGTGTGGGCAGGAAGGACAGTTTTGCACTGGGGGCAGGTTTGTTGCCAGCTGAAGCTGCTCCTGAGCCCTGTGGTGGTCCAGCCCTGTGCTGTGGGAGGGGATCTCCCTTCTGTGGCTCTGCCAGGCCCAGCCCAGCTGGGCCGAAAAACCACCCTGGTGAAGGCAGGGGCTGTCACAGAGGAGATCTGGAAGCTGCCCTTCCTCATCATCCCACGTGCTTGTTATGGCCAGTGGCCATGTGAACGCAGCTACCACCCCGGTTCTCATGCTTTGCTCCCTATCACCAGCTGATGAGGCACAGGCAGGAGATGGGCAGCGTTTTTTGCCCGCACCTGACCACACATCCTCCGTGACAGCACCCTCCTCTCTCCGCAGACCTCCATGGAGTCACTGATCCATCACTTCAAGCTCTACACGGAGGGCTACCAGGTGCCCCCCGGAGCCACCTACACGGCCATCGAGGCCCCCAAGGTGCTACTTCTCATGGTGTTATGGGGGAAGTGGGTTCTGGCACGGTGAAGGGTGTTCTGGCTCCCCTGTGATGCTCTTGGGGACATCGTGGTGGTCCTGTCACTGGCTGGGTGGGCTGTCCTGTCCCCAGGACTCTGCTGTCACACCAGACCAGTGTTTGAGGGCTGGATGCTGCGGCTGGGAGACAGAACCTCAGCCTCCTGCCAGTGTCACCAACCCTGTCCCCACATCCTTGCAGGGTGAATTCGGCGTGTACCTTGTCTCGGATGGCAGTAGCCGCCCCTACCGCTGCAAGATCAAGGCACCTGGATTCGCTCACCTGGTAGGGGAGGCTGGGGCGGCCGGCGGCATTGCCGTGCTGGGGCCCACAGCGAGGGTGGGATTTGGGCTGGAGGGAACAAGCGCAGCCTGGGATGAGCTTTCTTTCCCTCTCTCTGTGCTGGGCTCCCCAACATGGTGGGCTGGAGCAGGGGTCTGTGGGCCACCACCTGTATGTCCCCTGGGGTCCCTCTGGGACCTCAACTTGCCTCCTGTGCCTCTGCCACTACAGCTGGTTTTGTTCTCTGCTGATAACTGACCACTTCCCCCACTCCTCCCTGCCATGCTGTGCTGGCAGGGGCAGCATCCCCTCCCCTGCCTGCCCCCAGTTGCAGGGAGGGGGCAGTGGGCCCTGCTGCCAGCATGGCACCCACTCCGGAAGCGGTGAGCTGGGCTGGGCCCCACTTGGCCGCTCTGCTGTTGTGCAAACCTGGGAGACAGAGCCATCCCCCTCCCACCTCGGCAGGCCTGGGGCCAGGGTGATGGGTGCTCGGGGGTACTCTGGAGGTGGGACTGTGGGCTGATGGGGGTCCCTGTGTTCTGCTTCAGGCTGGTCTGGATCGGATGTCACAGGGCCACATGCTGGCAGACGTCGTGGCCATCATCGGTATGTTCCTTCCTGGGGCTGGGGGCTCCCACAGCTATCGGGGGGCTCCTTTCTTGTTCTGGGGGGCTGATCATGCCCTAACCCCTCTCTCCCTCCCCCAGGCACGCAAGACATCGTCTTTGGGGAAGTGGATCGGTGAGATGGCAGCCCTGGCTGGCCCCGCTATGCCTGTCTCCTGCTGTGTGCGCTGCTCTGGGCAGGGGGGTCCCCCGGCCCCCCCCAACCGCGCCCCCTTCCTCATCTGAGTCAAATAAAGACTAAACTGGGTCCTGCCTGCCCAGTGCCACGTCTCTGTCCTCACGTCAGCCCTTCTCCAGCTGAAACCCGGTGAAGCCCCACTCTTCCTCCCTTTCCCATGTGAGGCTTGTGGTCGAGAGCTTCCCCTTCCCATGGTTGCAGCCTTCCCTGGCCGGGGGGAGCCTGGAGACACCCCCAGGGGTTTCACTTCCAACACCCTAGGTTTGGGTGCTGCCAGTGCCTGCAGCCTGCGGGCTTTCCCTGACAGCCTTCATCCGCCCAGGGCTGGTGGGTGCTCCTGCAGCCCCCCCAGGTGACCACAGCAAGGCCGGCAAGCTGTGGTGCCATGAGGGCTGGGGCGGGCCAGGCATGAGAAGGACGGGTGACGCTTGAGGACAGCTTGCCTTGAGCAACATCCCCACTGCCCTTTGCAGGAAGAGAGGACAGCTGTGCTGGCCGGTTCCCCAGCACAGTGGGTGCCGGAGGGGGGGGGAAGCGAAGTGGGGGCGGCGCAAGCAGGCAGGAAGGCGCTGGCTCTGTGGTTGCTGACTCCGGCACGATAGCCCCAGCCTGCCGGACCCTGCTCGGGGCCACGTGGAGGGATGGGTGCCCACCTGCTGCTCGCCGCTGCCCTGCTGCTGTTGCGGACCCCGGAGACAGGTGGGGATGGGGGTCCCGTGGGGATGGGGAGCGGCTGGGTGGGCGCATGGCGGTCAGGCTGGCTCCTTCAACGGTGTCCTCATCCTTTGGGGCGAGGCAGGATCTGTTGAAGTCCACCCGGGTGCTTGTGGCATGGAGGAGCACCCCAGGGTGAGTTCTCGTGGGCTCTGGGGCTCTCTAACACCATCCAAGGGGACATCGGCACAGCCTGCGACCTTGTGCTGTCACCAGTGTGTGGAAAGGGGTGATGCTTGGAGGCAGCAGAGCCAAGCTCTCGGCAGCCAGGACAGGTGCAGGATCCATCCTGCAGCAATGCTTGACCTGGGGACCCCCTCCCACGCCCCTCCCTCCATCCTCCCCAGAGGCCCTGATGGAGCCGGAGCTTTGCTACATCCTGGACGCCATCCTCTTCCTCTATGGCATCGTTCTCACCGTCCTTTATTGCCGCCTCAAGGTGAGTGCTAGGATCTGGTCTGTGGCCACCTGTCAGGCCCCATTTTTTGGGGAGGACCCCCAGGGAGGTGACAGCAAGTGCCCCAAGGCTTTCACACCTGTGCAGGGGCTTCTTCGTCTTACTACTTTTTTTTTTTTTTTTTTTTGCTTTTGGGCAACCCCCTTGCCCCCCTGCAGTTCCTGGCTCATCGAGCGTCACGGCAGGGAGCTGTCAAGGAGGTAACGGTGCTGGCGGCAAAGCGTGGCCAGAACTGGGGAGGTTTGGGGCTGGGGTATCCCAGGAGGGACAGGCTCTCCCAGCCAGTGCCCACCCCAGTCAGTGTTGTAGCCGTGAAAGGGGAAAGCGAAGGGGAAGTGGGGGGGGGCTCTGGTGCTCCTGGATTGGGGGGAAGAAATCCAGGAAACCTCATGACTTCCCTCCACTTCCCCAGGGAGTGAAGGGAGGAGTGCAGGGGGGTGGCAGGGGCAGGCGTTTTCATGTGTGTTCCCCCTCCCCAACTCTTTCTCTTTCACTTTCCTGGAGCAGAAGGAAGAAGCCATCTACACCGTAAGTCAGCCTGGGGGTGACGCATCCCGGGGGGCCCTACCCACAGCTGCTGTTGCTGGGGGGGGGGACCCTGTCCCCTGGGGTGCCTGTATCCCACTGGGTGCACCGTTCTATGGGTGCCCCATTCTGTGGGGATGCCCCACCCTGCAGGTGCTGTATCCTATGGGTGCTGTAACTTGCGGGGTGCCCTGTCCCCCCCCCATCACACCCCTTTGGGAGCACCCACCCTGGGTGTGGCCCCCCCCCAACAGCCCATAGCTCCCTGGGGCCCTTCCCTGGGGCACATCTTGGGTGGGAAGCTCCCACAGTGGTGTGACAGTCTGGAGGGGGGGTGGCAGTTGGGGGGGGGGCGACAGGCATCCTGTAACCCCCTCTCCCACGCAGGGGCTCAGCGGTGAGGGCCAGGAGACGTACGAAACGCTCCAGATCAAACACTCCTGACCCCGTCCTGCTGCTGTGCCGCAGCCGCCCCTTGTCCTCCTGTCCATCCCCAGCAGCTGGGGACCCCACATGGCCCCCCTGGTCCCCCCTCCTGGGACTGTGATGGAGAACTGGAGCTTTCGCCCCTGGAAGTGGCTGGTTTTGGTGCCAAACTGCCTTCGGCCAGGCAAAGACGCAGCCTGAATGCCACCACGGTGCCGGGACCCCCTGAGCCTGGGGAGGCTGGAGCTGCCTGGGCTGCATGGTGCTGCCCCCCGCTTCTGCTGCCATCCACCCCACAGTAAAGGAGCACCGTGCACAAACAGGGCAGGAGGGTTTCTGTAATGGCGGGGTGAGAGCCTGGGGTGACAATGGCACTGGCTCCTGGTGGGGCTGGACGTGGCGTGGGGACAGGGACGATGGCCCTGGCTGCCAACAGGGCTGGGCATCCACCAGGGACAGGGACAGTAGCACCATCTCCTGCTGGGGATGGTGGCACCATCTGATGGGGGGTTGGAGCTTGTGGGGACAGGGACACCATGGGGCTGGGGACAGACACCCGTGGGGCTGGGGATGGTGGCACTGGCTCCTGGTGACAGCTGCCGCATGTTTCTGGGTGGAGGAAATGTTCACAGGGGAGAAAAACACCATTTACACATTTAATGAAAAAGCTGCATTTTGGGGCCGATACCGTGGAAATGGGTCCTGTGCCCCCCGGCCCCCCCAGAGCCCTGGTTGGGGGGGGCCCCCAGATGTCTCAAGGGGGGGCCCAGCACCTTCCCTGAGATGCAGCCAGAGCCTGG